CTCCATCCACAGCATAGGGCTGTCTCACTTGCACAGCAAATATCTTCAAATGACCCAAGAAGGAAAAATGGATGGATGGATGGATGGATGGCAAAGCCACAACATAACAAAACAAAAACATGCTAGATCATTACCCAGACTGGCTTGGGAGAATATTCCTTCATAACCCCAAATGCTCTAAGTATGAGTAGTAGTATTTCATGCTCACCTGTTAATACTAATTTTCATTTCAAAGAGGGGTAGAGTTTGGGCATTTTGCACTGCGGTTCCCAGAATTCCCTAGCTGCTGATTATGGAGTAATTACCCCAAGTGTGCAAGGACATTTTTTTCCCTTATTTTTGTACTTGCTCTTCTAGTACATTTAGCGAAAAGAGAGAAAAGAAATAAAGGACTTTCATTACCAGCTGTAGCACAGTCTGCTTTAAAGATGTTAAAGATATTGGAAGATTACCAAAAAAAAAAAAAAAAAAACCTGTAAGAAACAACAGAAATCGACCTAAAAATCAATCATAGCTTCTACAAGCACCACCTGTCCTTCTTTCCCTGACTCTCTTTTTCCAAAATGATGATAATCTTTTTCCTCCTCTGGAAGTTATACACATTACGAGGGAAACTCAAGAACTTAGTATGATTAAGATCACAAGCAATGAAAAATCGCAATGAGCTCATAGAGATGGAGAAATTTGTTCAGTTTGCATTTACCTAAGCTGTTTAGTTATCCTGAACCACCACATGAATACTAACAGTTAGATTCAGACATTCAACCTTTTTTGAATTCTGTAATGTAGTTTTCTAATCAAAAAGTGAGCAATATGTGTATATTAGCAGAATGTGAACATAAAAATATTAGGAGACATAATGTACAGTTGGCCCTCCTTATCCATGGATTCTTTTTCCATAGATTCAACTATCCACAGCTTAAAAATACTTTTTAAAATATAAATTCCAAAAAGCAAACCTTGATTTTATCATTTTATATAAGGGTCACCATTTTACTATACCATTGTATTTAATGGGGACTTGAGCATCCATGGATATTGGTATCCACAGAGGGTCTTGGAACCAAACCACATCATACCAAAAGTTCACTGCACCAAAATCATATACAGTCAGCCCTCCATATTTGTGTCTTTGACTTTTGCAGTTTGATTATTGATGGATTTGATTAAAATATTATCTTTAGGAATCTCTGGGTCCTCCAGTGCAACTGTGCCACACATTGGCCATAGAGTCTCACTGGAGGACCGAGAGATTCCTAGAGAAAACACTTCTTTAGGCACTGGTAGGTGTACCAGTGTGAATCAATGGCCAATATCTTGACCACAGAGTTGTAATGGTGAACATAGAGATTCTTAGGGAGAACAATTCTCTAGCTATTTTTAGATTCTCCAACACAATTCTATGGTCAACGTCTGCTAGGAGTTGCCCATAGAGTTGTACTGGAGGACCTAGCGATTCCTAGAGAGGTGTTCTCTCCAGTTTTTTTAAAAAAGGTGAATTTTTATTTGTGATTTTCCCACTTTCTTAGGGATCCTGCACTCCTTACCCCAGACAATGTGGAGGGACCACTGTACAGTGGTACCTCTACTTACGAAATTAATTTGTTCCAGCA